CACACACACACACACCACACACACACACACAACACACACACACACACACACACACACACACACCACACACACACACACACACACACACACCACACACACACACACACCACACACACACACACACACACACACACACACACACACAGTAGCCGATCCTGGCCTGCTGCCAGCCAGTGTTCAATCAGTCTTTCCTGTTCTGAAATCTCCTGTAACGGCTGAAAAATAACACTGAGTGAAATACTGGATCCATTAGCCGCTGTGGTAGAACAGAGGTCAGAAAGCAAGTCTTTCTTTTATTTATAAGCATATCCACTGTAGTATATCCAACAGTGACAGCTGGTCTGAGATGTCCAAAAGTGCTGGAAAAAGACTAAATAGTTATCTTCATTATCCAAGCTGAAAATGAAATAAAAACTGAAAAGATAGCTCACAGAGAGTACAAACGTCAAGCATTCAAGGCTTAACACGCTTCAAAATTAACCATTTTTACTACCAAAAAAGGTTTTAAATGACATCAAAACAGGTATAGTATAAGACTATCAGGCATGCCATATTGTGTTTTTACAAAAAAGTGCAGAAGTTTGATCAAAGATTGAACAAATGAGTCCTTAAAAGAATCCGAATCTTGTTCCTGGGCCAGTTCCCCAACTCTTTACACGCTTCAAAATTAAATACTTTTACCCAAAAAAAAAGGTTTTCAAAGATGACAGATTGACATCAAAACAGGTATAGCATAAGAGCATAACGCATGCCAGGTTGTGTTTATAAAAAAAAGGTGCAGGAGTTCATTAAACTATAAATGAATCCTTAAAGAAAATCCAGCTCTTGTTCCTGGGCCAGTTCCCCAACCCTCCACTAAATCTGACAATAAATCTTCGTTGGACTGTTCGAACAAACAAACACAGCCGAGAACATGGCCGACCAACGGTTCCTTGGAAAATGGATTGCAGACCTGGTCGTTAAACAAGGAAACAGAAACACTGCAGCCTCCTGGAGACATCAACATGTGGAGATGCTGGTCACTCTGGCAGGCTCAATAAAACAGGAGAAAACAATACACACTGCCAACCGGCTCCCTTGGTTTCCACATGAACTGGCTCAGCAACCAATGAATCACGGCTGGCGCTGCTTAATGGAAATGATCCGCACAACTTATCTTGGACAGCTCGGGTGAACATGCCCATTGTGTTTGAGCTAACACTGTACTGTAAATGCCAACTTGACCACTTGATCCCCCTGAAGTGTGTTTGTGTAAGCCCATTGTCGGGGTGTTAGGGAAATCACACAGGAGCACTAATGAAATTCTTTCTAGATTGTAACGACTACAGCCACCGGCCTTTGAAGGGCTTAAGGAGTCAACGGTGTTCTTAAATGTCAAAGTCTTTGTAGGGCTTAAAGACGGGCACAGTAGCCACTGGTGGGATGGTTTAGTGTGGTGTTAAGAAGAAATCATCACCCCCGGAGAAAGAAAGAAAGAGACGGAGACAAAGTGATGCATTCCTCCCATAGCAGGAGAGCATTTATAGGATGTGAGGAGACGAGGCATTAAGGTAGATTACAGGAACACACAACCACACACACACTCTCATCTGCGCATGGGCTTTTAAAGATGACCACTGTACAGCTCACCACCAGCAGATAGGACTTCACATGATGTCTTGGTGTAGAGAGTGGTGCAGGAATGAGTCCTAAAGCTAAAACATGAGTCAGCATTTTAGTAGTTTAAGGTTCCTTCGAATACAAGTCACATTTTTAAGTATGTTTTTGGTTAAATTCCCCAAAACAAGGTCTGTGGTTCATACAAGTTTATGAGATGTTAACGTTTTTCTACGATACTACATGCTTCAGTCAATACCCCACTGGTGAAATTCTGAAGCTCTTTGCGTCGGTTGTTGCTAACAAGTGTCTAAATGAGACGACTAAATGTCCCACCCCCTCCAGGACACCCTGTCCTCACTGCTGCTTCAGCGATAGGCTGCTGCATCCCCGTTGTCTCACGGAGAGATACCGCAGGTCTTTCCTTCCTGCAGCGGTCAGACTATACAACCAGCACAGCCCCTAGTTGACCCCCCCCACACACACACACACCACAACACAGACTATATCACCCCTTGCTGCTAAATACCAACAAACTATGTGCAATATGTGCAATATATAAATGCCGTTAATAACCGTGTAATATATACCTGGCTGCTAAATCCTTAGAACTGTTACAAGGTGTGTATTTTGTAAATTGTGTAACTTGCTGCTGTTAAATATCAACCACCTATGTGCAATATGTGCTAGATGTGCAATATATATATATATATATATAGATGCTGTTAATAACTGTGTAATATATACCTGGCTGCTAAATCCTAAGAACTGTTACAGGATGTGTATTTTTTTTAATTATGTAACTTTTTATTTTTTATTATATTTTTTATTGTATCATAACTTAGCACTTCTTTTAAATGCATGTCACATATTTAACATATGTAACATTAAGCTGTCTGTTGCTCTTTTTCCTGCTGTAACTACGCAAATGTCCCCTCCGTGGGACTAATAAAGGTATTCTGATTCTGATTCTGATCATGAAGAAAATTAGCCGCCTTTAGCTTAGCAATGGTGACGTGAAGTAGTTACGCGCTTTTTACTTCTGGAGATCGCATTTACGGTTAAAAAATCACAAAGTAGTGTTAATATTATTGAGATTCTCCTGCTGAACAAAATATGTAAGTATCATAAACATTTGTTAACTACAGAATTATATTTCTGCAATATTCCAAAATCTTATTTTTCTGGCTTAGCCACCTTTAGCTTAGTTGTGGGGTCGTGTAGTCATGTGACCGGATGTAGTGCCTTAAGAGCTTTTTACTTAAAAATGAATAAAGTGTTGTTAATATGTGGAGATTCTCCTGCTGAACAAAACGTGCAACATTCTAAAATCTGAATTGTATTTAAAGCTCCGACTGTTTGAACAACAGTTGATATCTTGAGTTGTTCTTCAGAATTCAGGGGGTGTTTATGTGAAGTTTTCCAGTTTGGAACTATTCTCCCCATTATCCCTACACCACATGAATGCAGCGCAAATGTCATAAAACGCAATGCTAACAAAGTTGAAAAATAATGTATGTAACCACCTCGTGATTCGCATCATTCTTCCTGTGACCTGTTACACCACCTCACCAAGTGTAGTGAAAATGGTTCCAGTAGTTTTCCCATAATGCTGCTGACAGACAGACACACATAACCTTTTTGCTGGAGGTAATAACCCCATCCATCACCTTTGGGAAGAAAGGTGTTGGACCTCATGAATGATCTCTTTGGTCTGAAACACCTTCCCTCGTTTCCTCTCCTCCACCCTGGTATAATTGACCTCCTTACCTTCACCTCGTCTAACTCATAGCCTTCCTCACCTCTGTCCTTCTTTTTTCCATCCTTGCGTGCCCCTTCTTCATCCAACTTGTAATAAACCTTTCCCAAATCCACCTCCAGTCCAACAGGTTCTCTTTCCAAAACACAAATCAGCCCCCGACACACTCCTCCCCAGCTGCTTGGCTTCCAGGGAAATACTCCTTATTTTCAGCTATTTTTAGCATGACAATAAAGCTTAACAAAAAAAGAACCACTTCCCAAAATGTCCAGACATTTCACATTAAATGTGTTTCTAGGGAGGAGAAACTGTTCCACCAGCAGACCCCGGCCAAAGCAAATGTGATCCAAAGGAAACAATAGCATGAAAACACTGATTTCTTTTTATGAGCTGCTTTTTGAACGAACACTGAAATCAGTATTTAAAAAAAAGGACATCTGTGACATTTGAAATAAAGAGGGGTTTTGTGTGTTTGCAGGGGAAAGTAATATCTTCCAGAATTATAGCAGGGCCTGGAAACAAACGCCTGGAGGGAGCAGGGGGATGAACTGGGCCCAGATGTCCTTACGCCGACTCAGCGCTCTGTTAGCAGCTGTTCAGCGCCTTTTCTGTACTCTGTATGAGATGTTTTAGAACAAAATAACTAAATCCAAAAAGTAACTAAACTCAATGCTAATGAAAGTGTTGTTTTGAAGGTTTTTCTCAGTTTTTAAGCCTGTTCCTGTTCAACTAATTACTAAATGTGCCATCGCAGGTTTTCACTGACTGTTGAATGTAGAGATTGAGAATAGTTGTACTAAAGAACATCAGTACCGTACAGCATCTTTCTAGCCTCTTAGAACAATTATACATACACAGCTTAGTTGAATACTTGATTCTGATTGGTCAATTTGGACATTCAGCGGTCTGTTATTCCTCGATAACACGGCACAGTGCAGTCATATCAGTCCGGTTACTTAACGTCAGCTGTGGCCAAAACAACACATTAGTTTTTCCCTTTCTTTGTCAGAAAACACCATTCAATACTTTTTGAATACTATTTTTTATATTTGCGGAGAGCATGAACATGTGGCTTCGTGATGGCTTATCTGTTGCCAGTAAAGAACAAGTGAACAAGAGAAGCAAAGGAGGTTGAAAGACTCAGAGAGCTGCACGTCAGAGAAATCAGCAGAAGAAGACAGACAGGAAGTAAACGCTAACAGGAACACAGTATGGGGTCTGGCAGTGTTTAAAGACTGGTTGATGAGAAAGAAAATGGGAACAGACTTGGACAGTTACAAAAAACCTCGATCAGTCATTTTAAGTTACATGTACATTTCTGTCGCCACAGTTGCAGCCGTTTGTGACACTGACAATTATTTTGTCAACGGAAACAATACGATCATTTTAAATCAATAAAATGATATTATCCTTTACATAACAAGTGAACAGCCAACACAGTTACAGCCAAACAAGCTCAGTAGAAAGTGTGATTGATGTATTCTGTGTTAAACAGGAACCCATTACTACCAATGTTTCTGGAAAGCCCATCGGTCAAAGTGATTATACTGTTAAAATAACAGTTTTGATTGGAACTAGACTAGAACAAACGGAAACCAGCATGAAATGTAAGTATGTGTGTAAGTGTGTGTGAGTGTGTGTTTACCTGTCGGCGAGCTGTAGGACACGGTGACGTATCCGCTCAGGTCAGCAGCGGGGTAGCGGCCGTTGAGGAAAGCCGAAAATGCCACAACTGTGGATTTACCGACACCTGGAGAGACGGAGAGAGACAACATGCGTTTACATTACAACTCAAGCCTTTTCATCACTTCCTGTTTAGCAGCCGTTCCACAAAGCTTCTGTCCCTTTCACCGGTCTTTATAAAAAGTGAAACATATTCTTAAAAAAGAGAAGATAGTATCTACAAAGGCACTTTCTGTTCAACATTGAAGAATGTTGTTTCTAAATTATTATTTTGCATTTATGTATTTTATTTTGGGACAGAAATGTAGAGTTTGGAAGGTGTTTTGGAGGCACCGGGGGTCTAATGAAAGAGTGTTGAGCTGCATTATGGGAGGTGTAGTGTCCACTGTGTTGGGGGTTTGACCCATATACATATAGGCCCTATACTGTCATGATATTATAATAAAGACATTTTCTTATTTAATTATGACTATGTCTGTGTGAGTTTTGCAGATCCCCCAAATGTCTGGAAGTGTAAGCACTCATTGCGTCTTTGAAGATTATATTAAAATGTAATAACTAGGGCTGTCAAGTTAACGCGTTAATAACGCGTTAACGCAAAAAAAAATTAACGCCACTAATTATTTTAACGCGATTAACGCATGTGTATTTTTTGTCCTCGGCCGTCGTAGTTTCAGAGCGCATCGAGTGTAAAATACCATCGACAAGCTGATGCTGACAGCCCCGCTCCTGCCGCCCGCTTGTGGCAGACCACACTTCCACGCTCACTGGCAGGCCCGGACTGGCCATCGGGAGGACCGGGAGGGAGTGTGTATGTGTGGCGCGACTCGCGCGAGCGAGGCACACCTTACGTGTTGTTGTTGTTAGCATCTGGTGCTAGCTAGCTGCGCTAACGGATATAAGGAGCTGTTTCAATGACATTTCGCCGACAACTGCGCCGAGCACTTGACTTTATGCAGGTAGCCAGACAGTGGGACATTGTACGAAAAGTCAGCACACTCAGCACGGATAGTACGCGCAACATGATTGCAGCGTCCAGGCAGCTCCCATTCGAGCATATATGCCTTGAGCTGCACATAGCTCAACGATCCATCACAGTGTCTACACACACACACACACACACACACACACACACACACACACACACACACACACACACACACACACACACACACACACACACACACACACACACACACACACACACACACACACACACACACACACACACACACACACACACACACACACACACACACACACACACACACACACACACACACACACACACACACACACAGTATTATTGTATGAGAGAGGTTCCAGGTTGAATTGAGGTGAATATTTGTAATGTTCAGGTTGTTGTGTTTAATATTCATGAGAATATTTGTCATTGATCAAATGATAATAAACAAACATATAAAGCATATTTGTCCACTCATATGTTGATAAGAGTATTAAAAACTTGAAAGATATCCCTCTAAGGTACATTTAGAACAGATAAAAAATGTGCGATTAATTTGCGATTAATCGCGATTAACTATTTTAATCGACTGACAGCCCTAGTAATAACACATATTAGTCAGTGTGAATGTTTTTTTATGTCTAGAACAGAAGTTCCGTTTTCACTCGGTTTCTCATTGAAGAAAGACATAGAACAAGGAAACAGGAGAACACACACACACACACGGAAATTGAAGTGTCAGCAATTTGGAGGTGAAGACACGACAGGATACAGTCAACCCAATACTGATCAGACCCTGCAACACACACACACACACACACACACACACACACACACAAAATATTGCCAGGTAAGTACAGAGGATTAACAACAGAAACCAGAACCTTTACTCAATTCCAAGTGCCCGGGCACGCACACATACACACACACTAAAATTATATGCAGCATGAGAGAGGGGTGATGACTTGTAGCTTCCCTTCAAATACCCCAAAACCAACAGAGAGAAAGAGGGAGAGAGAGCAAACAAGCTGGAGAGGAAAAGCAGGGATCAAATACAGACAGAGAGGAAAGGATATATTACAGCTAATGGCTTCAGGCAGTCACACACACACACACACACACACACACACACACACACACACACACCACACACACACACACACACACACACACACACACACACACACACACACACACACACACACACACACACACACACACACACACACACACACACACACACACACACACACACACACACACACACACACACACACACACACACACACACACACACACACACACAGGGTGTGGTGGTGTAATGGGGCGTGATGTTCCTGAGCTTGGCATGTTACAGGTGACTGAACCCCGAGTATGTGTGTGTGTGTGTGTGTGTATGTGTGTGTGTGTGTGTGTGTGTGTGTGTGTGTGTGTGTGTGTGTGTGTGTGTGTGTCCTAATGGAAACGTCTATGTGTAATGAATGAAAGTGAGGGGGGCAGTGAGTGTTTGACAATATTCATTTTTGTTGGTTGGGTTTTTCTAAACGTATTCATTAAACTGTACGTCACTGCCATCATTACACACACACGCGCACACGCACACACACACGCGCACACGCACACACACACACACACGCACGCACACACGCACGCACACACACACACACACACGCACACACACACACACACACGCACGCACACACACACGCACGCACACACACACACACACACACACACACACACGCACACACACACACACACGCACACACACACACACACACACACGGGGTGAAACCAGGCTTCTGGAGTTGAAGATAGACGGGGCAGCAGGAGGAGCCGGGATGGATGAGAGGAGATGAAAGGCGAGACGACGACACCTCCCCTCCAACAGACAGGGAGAAGATTAACGATAAAAAGCAGACAGAGACTTTCTCCACACTCCGTCAGCTGCTGACAGCGTGACCTCCTCTCCTCGCCTCCTTCTCACACACTCCTTTAGCATCCATACCTCCTTTTTCCTACTCCCTAGATGCTCCTTCTCCCTCAGCCTCCTCCAATGCAGTAGTTATAGTCAAAATTACATAAATAAATAACATATTTTTTCGACATAATATACTAACATTGTTGTACTCTTTCTGACAAACTTGTCTTTGACTTTTTTCAACTAATAACTCGTTTGCATCTCCTCACTTTCTCAGTTTCTTCCATTCATCCTTACCTCCCTTATCGCCCATCTCCCTCCTTTGTTCCCTCTCCTGCTTCCTTACTGCTTCCCTTCTATGTCACCTTTCCTTGTTCCTCGCTGCCTCTCCTCCTCCCTGTCATCCTGTCTGTCAGCAGAAGGCTTTTAACCTGCGTGAACTTGAGGTCAAAGTGGTCAGACTGCGTTAAGTGCTTTAAGTGTTCCCAGGCCCATTAAGAGCAACAAACAACACCAAAGAAGACACAAAGTGCTCCCTCCTCCTCCTCCTCCTCCTCCGCTCCCTTTCTCTATCCATCTCTTTTCTCCTCAGCTTGTCATCGTGTATTCAGGCACATCTGGACAGGTATAACGTGTGCGACCCAGTGAGACCGTTAGACTGGTCCCAGTGTTCTCAGGAGCATTAACCCATTAACACCACTGCCAACATAAACACACTCCACAAAGGACACTTGAATCCCCGTTTCCTTGCCTCTCCTGCGCTACCTCCTTTTTCTCTACATCTCTGATTTCTTCCCACCCTCATCGGTTCTGTTTTTCTAACTTTCAGTCACCTTCTCATTGCCTTCACAACTTTTTTATCCACAGGTTCCTTAAGCTCTATGTCCCCCTACAAAGCACGAGGAAGGCGTATAATGTCTCCTCCATCAGCTTCCCTTTTGTACAAAGATCTGTATCTCATTTCTCTCTACCACCTTTTTTTTTCTTGTCTCTAAATTTGTGACATTTCATAAAAGAATAAACTCTAGTTGGAATATGAAGACTGAGTCATCACCAGAATTGAACAATATAACCACAATAAATGAAATGAACGAGGCTTAAAGGTAGGGTAGGTAAGAATGGAGAAACCGGCTCGAGTGCGCTAGAATTTGAAAATACACAGCCGGAGAAAATCTGCCCCTTCCTTCAGACTTCCATACAGAGCCCCTCCTCCAACACACACGAACGCGCACATGACCAATGAGGGCACGAGATAAGTTTGTGCACAGATGGAAGGCTGACAGGCAGGTAGGCCATCCAGTTATTTTAGCCGGGCCGGCTAAAATGATTGGTCGTGCTTTTTACAGTATTACAGCTTCCACAGATGACATTTGTATGTATTTATTGTCAAAGCATTTAATGTATTCATTGCTATCGGGATGTTAAGAGCATTCCATGGAATATAACAAGTGTTTCTGAAGTGAATTACCTACCCCACCTTTAACATTGCAACAATAGGTTACATTTAAGATAAGAGATCGGGGTGAAGTTTTATTTGTTTCTTTTTCCATTTGTGGCGGACCTGCCTTCTCTACCTTCATTTGTATGCAGACACACGGCATTCATTTCAAAGGACATTCACAACCATTGCTCTGAGGAACACAGGTTTATAACGGGTAGTAACAATGCAAATAAACACATAAACAAGCACTCTCATGCTCCCTTTTTTTATCTACTTTCACCCCTCTATTTCTCCATGCTCTCCATTCCCTCAGTGTGTGTGTGTGTGTGTGTGTGTGTGTGTGTGTGTGTGTGTGTGTGTGTGTGTGTGTGTGTGTGTGTGTGTGTGTGTGTGTGTGTGTGGTGCAGGAGCTATCCTCAGGTTATATTACTTGACAGCTCAGGTTAAGCCAAGTGCTGACTGTTTAGAAGAGTTGAAGGGTCAAGAGGGGTGGAGATGAGGATCTATACCGCACAGGGAGATGGGAAGTGGGAGTGTGTGTGTGTGTGTGTGTGTGTGTGTGTGTGTGTGTGTGTGTGTGTGTGTGTGTGTGTGTGTGTGTGTGTGTGTGTGTGTGTGTGTGTGTGACGTCCAGAGGGAAACAAGAGAATCAGAGTTGACCATGGGTGTGGTGTTAAACGCTGACCTTTGACCTCTACCGGTCAGCCTCAGGTCGGATCGCTGTTGTGGGTCTGACCTTAA